CAGACCTTGAAGTAAGTATAATCTTGATATTGAAACCTGGCCAGTGACAGGCAGGGTGATCCATCTCTTGGGACTGTCAAGTGCATCAGGCAGTTGTGGCTCCAGGGGTTTAATGTGTCGCCATCCTCGGTGTGCGCCAGTTTTGCTCCTCATCGGCGCCTTCGCTTTGTGACGGAGGCCTTCTTTTCCACATGTGAGCCACAGAAGATCAAGCCTTCGTAAAGGGCCCCATCCTTTGACTGGTGGTCCTCAGCTTACGGCCACAACTGAACCTGAAGTTTCGGTTGCTAAGTGAGAAATTGGTTGAGCCTTGCCCTGTTTTACGACTTCCCCATTGATTTCGTTTGTCAGAAAGTCGCAAAAGGGGATCGCCTGATCCCAGGACAGTCATAAACATGAGCCAGTTGCCAAGCGTCTGAATTTTAATCATGTGACCACGGGGATGCTGCAGTGGTCATAAGTGTGAAAAGCAGTCATAAGTCCCTTTTTTCAGTGCCGTTGTGACTTTGAACAGCCAGGGTGCAAGCTGAGGACCACCTGTATTTGTTTTTAAAGCAACTACAATTTCCCTCTCCATTTTTACCCTGAAATTCGAATGTGAGAATGGAAAGAGGTCTCAGGCACGAGGAGAAGACCCTAGACCTTCTGCAGGAAGGTGGCAAGATGGGGAAAGATCTTCCGCTTCAGAAGATGCCACTGAATCAGGTGGAGAAGGGAAATCAAGGAGGCTGGAGGTGGCCTCGTCATCTTTTCCACTCAGGTTTTCGGGTGGAGCTGGGAGATCTGTGCTCCAGGATGAGACCTCCTTTTCGGTTGAAGACGGGAGATCGCTGCTTCCATAAGTCAACATTTCATCAACCGGAGACACCACATCATCCTCCAGTTCAGCAAGAAGCTTGTTGCTTAAATGCACAGCGTCCCTTTTGTTTTTTGGGAGACCCTCTTGGGGAGACCTTAAATGGACTGCTGCCATCCCAGCTTCATTTGTATTTTGGTTCTTGGTTGAAGAACCTTTTCGATTTTCCTCAGCCGGGTCCCTGTTGCCCAGGGACGTTTTGTTGAGTTGGAGACTGATTTCGTCTGGCTTGTGGGATACACACTCCTCCGCTGAACGGCTGGCACAGCCAGTTTTGTCCTCTGAAACTAGCAGGTGATCAGAAGAATTTGGAAACCTGTGACATAACGAATGCTTTGGGCCGTGGATTGGCTGCTGCTCAGAATCTTGAGGGGTGCCAGTCTTCAGAGAGACATCTGGTGCCAATGTCACGGTTGCATCCTTGTTACCACAGTGAGATGTGTTTTCATCCTCAACATCTTCTCCAATTACCTTAATCACATTAGGCAGAGGGTCCTTCTCTCCTTCCCCCTCAGGACTCTGAAAAGGATCATTGGTGGAGGAGAAGACCATCTTCACCTCAGCTGGACTTCGAGAAGTCGTCTTGTTCCCACCATTTTCTGCACGTTCTTCAGAAACATTCAAAGAGGTTGCCCTGCTTCTCAAAGTTGGTGCATGAACGTGGTCCTTTTTTGTCACAGAACGGGTCCCCTGCAGCCTCCCACTGTTGGATAAAACAGCAGAACCAGATTCAGCCAACCTTTCCGTTCTAGCTGCGTCTTCCCAGATCTTTTCCTGACTGTACACAGCACACAAGTTCTTTGACTCAAGGTCCCCACCAGAAATTTGCCCCTGAGGTTTCTCCTCAGAGGAGGATAATGTACTTTCTGTATTTATTACTATCCTTGGCACCACTGGAGCTTCACGATGTGTAGAGACACCCAGGTTATCAGGCAGGGGTTCCTGGAAGGCAAATTCTTCAGGGAGGCTGACGTCTGTGTCTTGTTGGCCATCATCTTCTAGATCTGAAGCAGAAAGAGAACTTCCAGAGAGATGGACTAGAACCGCATAGCCCTTATGGAATTCAAAACCAGATGGTGACTTTTCTGGATATGGGCAGAAACCAGGAAGTATGGAAGAAGTTCCTGCAGAAGCAATACTTCCTGGGCCTTTGTCCAATGGAGATCCAGGACGGTCTTCTTGGGAATTCTTGGTCAAACTGTTATCAGGAGAACTGTTTTCTCCTCGACTGGCCAAGTGATCTAGAAACAGCAGAAATGTGGAAATTGATTTAATTTTAGGTCTTAATGTCAGATTTTTCTGTATTTCTCTAGGAGGGTGGAAGAAATTTTAGCACCATTCCTTAAGAATGGGGAAAAAACCCCAGGATATTACTGAAGTTTCTTGAAGAAGGAGAAGCCACTACAGACCACTGGAGAGAAGGTGGCAGATCGGAAGAAAAGGGATTCCCGCAGGACCCTTAGCCATCTTGCCACCCAAAAGTCAAAGGACAGCAGCCCATAAAACTGACTTAACAACCGCCCTGCTTAGCAACAGAAATCCTGGCTCCAATTGTCATAAGTGGAGGATTACTTCTATTTTTTGTATACTACCAATAACAATAACCTTTGTGTAGGTCTTCACAGAGTCTCCGCAACCTATTATTATTTACTATTGTTTTATTAGCCAGTGCAACAATTGATGGAGACGTTTTCTAAGAGAGATTTTACGGCATAAACAACATTTCATCCTGCTGAAATGTTGTGAATAAGTACAGTTCTGAGGAACTGTAATTCCTGACTCGATATTTATAATTTCCTAGAGACAAGGCACCTACAAGGCTAATAAATTATAAAAATGTCTCCGGTAGGAGATTTGGATTTATTTTCTAGAAGCTGAATGGGAAGGCGGAAGAAATATGAACCGCTGATAAAAGTAAGAAAGCAAAATCTCTCAGGTGGATAGATTTTTTTTTTAAAATGTGGCCTCTTAAATTATGTTGGAAATATCTCGGAAGAAAGCACATTTCTAATAGCCCAAATGGAATAAGCGATGCCTTGTTTTCTGGAGAAGCCACATAATCATATTCTCTAATAAACTCGGACAGATTTCGGCTCTCGTGTGATTTACGCCAATGAGATGTTGAGCAGGACATTCTAGTCATCAAAGGGGAAACTGGGACTCTTTCTGTCTGCATTAAAGGGCGATTGAAGTGGCCAGAGCAAATTAGACGTCACAAGCCCCGAGTTTAATTTATTATTTCCTTGAGGAGCTTTTCAGGAAGACATAATTTACGGAGAGAAGGTTAAGGAGGAAATGTCAGTCGGTAAAAGGACTTAGAAAGGTTTTGCGGGTAGCCAGAAATGCTGGCTTGATTCCATCCAGAAAAGTCCAACCAACGAGCCACTTGCTATTCCTAGTCGACCCTGGAAATAAAATTCTCTTACCTTATCACTTGTTTTTGAGCGCCCAAAGACTCAAGGAATTGGGCGGCTTTTCCTTAAAAGTTTCTAAAAATTTTCTTTAAATTTTTGTGGGAGTTTCGACACTGAAAAAAGTGACTTATGACCGTTTTTCACACTTACAACCGGCAAAATGCCACAACTGGTCATAAAGCTGACTTGCCCAGCATGTGATCGTGTGACCACAAGAGAGAGAGTGGACAATCATTTACGACAGCTGGGGATACTTTATGAGCCGTAAAGCACTTGTTCTGTGGCTGTCATAACTTCAAACAGTCCTAAAACGACCGGTCATTAAGCGAGGACTACCGGAAATGTGACTCTCTTCCTGCAACATCCACCATGGAGATCCAGACCATCTTTGTATAGTTACCTGCTGTTCTTCCATCACTAAGGGCTGGATTCGGGGATCTTTGACCAGAAGGATCATATAGATCCTGGATGGTAGCTCCCAAGACCTTAGAAGATGGATCTCCTTTTCCTGGTTTCCTCTTTGCACGTCCGTCTGCCTCCTGATTCCTTGGTGGCAAAATGCTCTTTGACTCAGCCAGCTGTCTGTAAAGAGATCGGCCTGAATTAGCAGGAGAGGGAGTGTGGAATGCAGCGTTTCTCAACCGTGGCAGCTTTAAGATGGGTGGACCTCAACTCCCAGGATTCTGGACCACAAAGGGCTGTCCAATCTCTTCTTAAAAGAGCTGCGGTGGTGCAGTATTGCAGGCTGACTGCCCACTGCCAGCAGTTCCATTCTGACCGGCTCACGGTCGACACAGCCTTCCATCCTTCTGGGGTCAGTAAAATGAGGACCCAGATCGTTTGGGGGCAAGAGGCTGGCTCCGTAAACCGCTTAGAGAGGGCTGTAAAAGCCCCGTGAAGCGGTATATAAGTCTGCTGTTGCTGTCGCTAAAAAGCTCCAGTGACAGAGCATCCACAAGTACTTGAGACAAGACTGATAGGAAGTTCCTCCTTGGTTCTAGGTCGGATCACTCTCGGATAAGTTTCCATCCGTTACTTCTTGTCCTGCCCTCAAGTGCTTCAGAAAATAAGTCAGTCCCCTCTTCTCTGTGACAGCCACTCCAGTACTGGATAACTTCGGTCGTGTCACCCCTAGTCCTC